TATCAAGTCTTGGAACGCGCAGACGCGTCGAGTGGCCCTGATGATGTTCGAGCCGTTACGTCTCCTGAGAACGCGCGCTGCTTAACCCTTCTGTGTCTTTGTCACGCTTGTCCTTAACTATGTCTAACCCATCTGTACTGCCCCTATCGACTGTCGGTAATCTGCGCTCCGATAATTGCTTCTCATACGTATGATGTCGCGCCCGGATGCGGAAGCCTGGTTGCGTACAGCTAACGAAGACTGAACATCATCGCACTTTCTCAGGAGACTATGTTTCCGGGTTCCTTCGCCCCTTTCAGCATAGGTGAGGTCTCATCTTACCTTGTGGTATATATAAAGGCTGCTCTTCGCAGAGATGAACGGTCAGTGCACCTACATACACTCTCAAGCACCCACAGCCCTCGCTCAAACCCTCACAGCATCCAAGCCTCCACGATGTGCTACATTCGCCAGTGCGTAGAGACTTCGACCTCCAAAGAGCCAAACGCTGACCTTACTGCAGGGTCTGCTATGTCTACACCAAGTGCGGGCACGCGCAACCCATGGTGAGTTTTGTCGACCTTCTGTGTGGGCCATAAACTCACTTGGTATTCGCAGCCCGACGAGCAGGTATGCTCATAGTTATATGTCGCTCGGACTAGCTTGACACACCACGGTGGCGCGTAGATCTCTTGCAACAGCCCCCGCTGCAAATTCAGCCCCGCGCACCCGAAGAGCTGTAGCGGCGCATCCTGCAAACAAACCTGCAAGCAAATGTGAGTCCGTACTCGGGTCCGCAAGACGCTGCCATGCTCACTACCGTGGTCTTTATCACAGCCGTCAGTATCCACAGCAGATGTGTAAGTACCGGATCAGTGACTGTGCCCCCAATTTTTCTCACCCACGTCGCCTCACAGCACCGCAAATTGCTGGCTGCTGTCCCGGGTGTGGCGGCCGGCGCTGAACCAGCCCCCCTCAAGGAGCACTCATCTATCCATCCCGCCCTTTCTTGGACTTCTTGCATGCGGACGGACCTCTTGACTCATCGCATACCTAACGTATTGCTTGATTAATCATTAATGCAGGTATTGTGCTTGGACATGTACACGCTCTCCAGTATCTATGACCGCTTTCTTGCGTCAATGACATGATCACGTTGCTATTTACAGGTCGGCCGAGTTACCCCTTGGTCAACTTCTCAAATGATATCTTCAAGACTTGACGACAAGCCTACAATCAGCGTTAGCGATTCTTCCCCGGAGTCGTACCACCGTCCCTTCCCCTGAACGGTGGGAGAACATTAGCCTCCCTAGTAGGCCAGACTCGGAACTCTCGGCCTGTCAATGAACACCACCACAGCGCCGCCGCCATAACTCCTATGTACCGCTTCGGTGTTCTTTCTACGGCTGCGCATGGGGTGGGGATCTCGGTCAAAGCAGCCATGAGCTCGATGCGGTGCCGATTCCCCTCTGGCCAGAGCACACGAAGGGGCTCGTAGCCGCGTGGGCCGGCGTCGATCTGGCCATCAAAGGAAGCGTACCTTCGTCGTGCCTGAGAACCAAAAGCGGCAGGCGTCGTACTTCCCTTCCGCGATCCTCGAACTGGGCACCCTTGAGCATATGTCCTGTTCATGATACCCGTGCCGCAAGCGACTGCGCATCCGTCAAGGTCGCATCGCTTTGAGTGTCAATGTGGCCAAGGGTCATCTCAAGTCCTTGTGAACGTACAACCGTCACAATTAACCTACAACTTTGCGCAGCTAATTTCTTGCAGATGTCTCAGCGCGTCTAGCTGTAACGAGTAGTATGGAATGTGCGCACGTGGAAGGAGGTGGTCATCATGTCTTCCCGGCGGCAGCAGGTACTAGAAAGCACTGCTTCCAAGACAAGCCGATAGTGCCCGCCAGTACAGCACCGCCGCATACGGGATTGTCGGGGAGGCCATTTCGGTCTCCTAGAGTCGTGCGGCTCTCAGGTAACACGTCGGCGATGACGACGCCGTCGAGGCCTAAAGAGGACAGAGGTTATCGAATGCTTCCGAGGGGCGGACTGACTCTGAGTCACCTTGAAACATTACTCCCTATGTTTGATAGGGATGCGTGGGTGTGCTGCCAATGTCAAACGTTCGCTCCCGCGCTGTGCGAAGGTAGTTAACTCCGTAGCGCGACTTACGTGAACTGTCGTGTGCCGGCCTGCCACACACATGGCATACGCTGGCAACGACCCAAACTGCGGCCAGCCGAGACATGCCTCAGACTTCAGTGGGTGCCACTTGGACGTCCCCATCTGTCACGCTGCGAGCGCCAAGCGTGCTGAGTTAAAAAGTCAAATCCGCACCTGGAAGTAAATGCTGAGAGTGGGGGGACGCCATATGGAGCATCCGATCGTTCGCACCGCTGCGCTGCTTCGGGGCGCGCAAGTAAGGCTTCGTCTGCCCGAAGATGGATGCGTTTGCAGAGTAGATGCAGCAGGATGGTCTATGATTGCGCACTCGTGCCAATGTTAACACGCTCGTCATCTCCCGGGCTTAACCTACCGCGGGCTCCGATGCTCACCTGCGTACTAGAAGACGTGCTTCACGCTTTCTCAGATTGGTGCCAACAGTGGAAAGGCCGCGCAGATCGGGCAGCACTGGATATCGAACGCAAGACGCATTGGAGTTCCCCGAATAGCGCTTCTTGGGGAAGGCAGACCGCAGGGTAGAAGCGGCGTCCGTTTGGTTCGTTGAATACCCAGCGCAGTGCGCAGGGGGTATGTATCACGTCGTCGTGGGTACTCGGAGGCGCGCACGAGACATGCCGCCGTGTGGGCGGCCGGTATGCTCGGAAGTCTGCTAGTGGCACGATAAATTAGCTCTAGGAAGCGGGTATGTGGTAGCGGCATGCAACCTGCGGACCTGCGGTAGACGTACGTACGCTGTCAGATTAGACCCTTGGCCTATCATTTCGCGGCCAGCTGCTGTGCATAGGTCATTGTTGCGACAGCTCGACTTCCTGTGTACCACATGGGACGTGCGTCCCCGCACTGCGCATGCCCTGGAGATGGAAAGCGATGCGAACGATCTGGATGGATGACAGCGCCAATAGAAGACAGCAGGGCCGGTCCTGAATTCTCGTGATTATCAGCATCGTCGTACTCACTACGACTTACGTACTTTCATCCCGGCTTCAAGAATAGAAAGGAGCCGTTGAAGGGATCGTATCCTGCTGACGGCCTCAGTACATTGCACTAGATCGCACTGGGCAGTGGATGGATAGGTGATCTGTTTAAATTTTGAAGTCAGAAACTGCGGTTCAAGCTCATCGAAAAGAACATCGGGGGTCTACCACCATCTTTCGAAGACGATTGTGGCTCGTGGCTCGCTGATATTTTCGGAAAGCGGGGCCGAGTGTAGCCAATATCCGTGACCAGAGGTATCGCAAGAGCAACACCAGCGCCCATGACATTCTCGAGATGTCGCCGCACCTTAGGTTATGGTAGAGCGACTATCACATATGAGAGCTACGTCAAAGCGAATTTGATGCATGGTGAGTGTTACAACTATAAAACCACAAACGCTCGGCAGCTGATCGGCGGTCTAGGACCTAGGACTCCGCTTTCTGACTTCCATCCACAACGTTGTGAGAAGCCGAGCTGCCCGCACATTTTCCTACATGAGCGTAGAAAACACATGCCATCGAAAAAACCCGTTGGCAGTGTTATGAGAGCTCGTAAGCGATGGCAAGCTGATATCGGAGGGACGCGGACGCTGCTAGACTCCTGAGCTTCTTCTAGCCAATGTTGCAGCGGTCAGGCGCACCTTTCAACACCGCAGCATAGGAGAACTCTTTGTATGATCCGTGGTCATGCTTTGTATGAGAAAGGGGCAGGCGGGAAGTTCGGAAGATTCAGATGATGGTGGTTGATGCCAAAGCGTGAACGACCGGGCGTCTAGTACTGCCCTCTCTTGAACTTGAACTTGATCAACGGTTTGGATCCGACATGTTAGCGAATCTCCAGTCTCTCTGTTTCTTTCTGTGGTTCGTGACTGATCAAGTACATGCGGGGTACTTACGACGTGACGCTCCGATGATTTACAGCTCAGGCGCTCGATGTCCAAGTGCAAAATGTCCCAGTGGTTAGGAGGCTTCAAGTTGCGACGTCATTGACGCTCCTCATTGTACAGACGACGAAATCCGGGTCCAGTGGACCCCAGGGAGATGCTCACTGCAAGCTCACGCATGCTGGTAGGCTTCCAAACGTAGCGAACCACGCCAGTCCCAGGGAAGCTGCAACGAAAACCATCACATAGTCAGCCCGACGTTGAGCGAGAGGAATGCGGCGCGACACCCACGTTACGCTGAATGTGTTGCCTTGCGACTCGGACCACTTCTTCACTTTCATCCTCTGCAGGCCGGCAAACGTCACTGTATCCGGGAGGGCCTCGTTTTTGTCGATGCGAGCGACCCCCACTAGGTCCGCTGGTGCACCACCGTTTGGCTGTTCAAGCTCGTCGGTGGGTTTGGGCTTGAATATTTCCGTGCGTAACATGGAGCGGTCCGTTCTGATGCAGTATACTACCGTCGTACATCTTTGACCAGCAGGTTCGCATTTGTCAAGCTGTCGCGATCGAAGACAAGCTTGATGTGGGCTTGCCGGCCAGGTAGTTCTGACGGATTGACCACTGGGGTCAGTTGTGAGTCCATGGTGGTGAGGGGAGGCGCAGATGCTCGGACATCATGCATCATGTCTGGGAGGCTGAAGTCATGGGGTTATGTCGTGCACAACCAAACGGCGCTTACACTTACGATTGGAATTTGGAAGTATCTTTCATTCCAACTCGAAATGCTACACATGGGCGTTCAGCTGAGACTACGCTAATGGCATGCATCCATAGCAGGCCATGATTGCACTACATACCGCGCCTGTCCAACCCGAATATCATTACTGGACAGTCGTCTACTGGGGTATCCGAGTCAACGAAGGACATGCGCGTTCATCATGTATGTACTAATGAAAGAACCAAAACTCTGCCAAAAACCGAGGTACTACCAGGGTTCGAACCTGGGTTCCGGGAAGACGTTGTAATCAAAATCCCGAGTGATAACCACTACACTATAGTACCATATGTGCCCTTTATTTTAGCGTTTATGCATCATGAATCGTTGTCTCTCAAACGGCGCGCTCGCTACCAAACATCGGTGCGGGTTGCACATTCCGACTCGGACCACTCTTGTCTCCCGACCACCATCAAGCGACCCAGGATGCTGCAACATATGAGTCTCACCGCCTGGCGCCATCATAATCATAGTCAAGCTCGACCTGCCAGCGATGCATCTGCTCCGACTGCACCATGGAAGCTGACCAAAGCCGGTGCCTTGAACGTTCGACTCCTTGCGAGCATCGGTCCTCCTGCAACTGCATCGAAAGCTTGCAATCGACCATTCAGCAAACCGGACCAATGATTCATCCAGCAAAATGACTCTTTCTGCGTCGTGCGACGAAACACTGCGGCAGTCGACGTTGAGCCAAGGTCATGGAAGGAATCACATGAAGTGGCCACCCCGCCCTCGCCAAGCCCCGCCCCCGAACCCCGGACGGGCGGGGGGCGCCCCGCACCAGATATGGATTGTTGCCTGGGGTGGCGTCGATGGACGAGACCTTATCCGACCATCCCCGCAACGTCCGCGTAGCAGGCGCGCCTCGTCATCCTGGTCGATGATCGAATGAGTCCTCGGGTCATGCAAAAGCATGGTCGACTCTCGGAGCAGCGACCGTCGTTCTTCACCTCTGATAGGGTGAAGCGCGTCGGCCTCAGGTACATCAGGCTCATCGCGCCCCCGCCGCCATCATCATTCCTCAGAGTCCCTGCGCCTCTTGGGCGGCCATCAAAATCGAGCATGCGCTTCACTCGCGCTCACCCGCGTCACATGGACCCCTTCTTCGGTCAAGTGAGCCCAGCACAAGCAGCGCGACGTCGGACGGTGCGAAAAGGGAAGCCAAGAGGCCTGCCGCGACGCCCGACGTCAGCGTCCTGCGATGCGTTATAAATGACGGCGTCACCGTCCGAGTCCCCTCGTACGAACGTACATCTTCGCCGCCATGTTCCTCCGTACACTCCGTGCTGCGCTCCCCTACGTGGTGCTCGGCCATTTGGCACTTCTGTCGAGCGCTACGGTCACCGACCCCGCCGCTCTCGATGCGTGTCCTGGATACAAAGCGAAGAACGTGTTCACGTTTGGTCCCAAGCTCACTGCGGACCTCGTTCTCGCCGGGAAGGCCTGCAACGTCTTCGGAAACGACCTCGAGAAGCTCAAGCTCGAAGTCACTTATGAGAACAGTGAGCTTTCACCTGTCTCTCTTCCTCTTACGCGACCTGAAAGTGATGCAGAGGAGCGGATTCACGTCAAGATCACGAACCCAGCGGACGCACGCTATGAAGTGCCCGAAGCTGTTTTCCCTCGGCCTCACGCGGACATCCTCGCGTCGCCACACAGCGCCGCAATCCGCTTCAACTACACGGCATCCCCGTTCTCGTTCTCTATCTACCGCGTGTCGACGCATGAAGTTCTCTTCTCGACCGCGTCCCATCCCATCATCTTCGAGCCGCAGTACCTGCGCGTCAAGACGAACCTCCCCGCGGAAGCGAACATCTACGGTCTCGGGGAGCACACAGACAGCTTCCGCCTCCCGACGCACAACTACACGCGTACTATGTGGTCGCGCGACGCGTACGGCGTACCCCAGGGGTCTAATCTGTACGGCAACCATCCGATCTACTATGAGCACAGGACAACCGGAACCCATGGTGTCTTCCTCTTAAACTCGAACGGTATGGACATCAAGATCAACGACACTGAGGGTCTTGGTACGACTCTGGAGTACAACGTCATTGGCGGTGTCCTCGACTTCTACTTCCTGGCGGGTAGCGAGAGCGATCCTACCGAGGTGGCGCGTCAATACGCGGACGTTGCTGGTACGCCCGCGGAGGTGCCGTACTGGTCTTTCGGCTTCCATCAATGCCGCTTCGGGTACCAAAGTGGGTATTTGTGAGCGCCGGAATGCTGCCAACAGCGCTAATGACTTTGTGTAGACTTTGTAGACGTCGCGGGTGTCATCGCGAACTACTCGGCAGCCGGCATTCCGCTCGAGACGATGTGGACAGACATTGGTATGTTGTCTCAAACGTTTACCTCCCGTTTTATAAGCTTATCCTGCTGCTAGACTATATGTACAAGCGCCGTGTCTTCACCCTCGATCCGGACTACTTCCCTCTGGATAGGATGCGCGAGATCGTTGACTACCTGCACAAGCACAATCAACACTTCAGTACGTTTGTGTCCATCGTTTTCAGCATCATCATCTAATACGATATGCAGTCCTCATGACCGACCCCGCGGTTGCATACGTGAACGATGGAACTTACGGGCCCTTCGACCGTGGTATCAAGGATGACATCTTTTTGAAGGCCGCGAACGGCAGCAGTCCGTTCTTAGGTGCAGTGTGGCCTGGTAAGCTCTATCATTATGTATATTTGCGCGAGCTGATCAGCGAGTTGCTCGATAGGTGTTACGGTCTTCCCTGGTAAGTAAATCCGTATGGAAGTCAGCTAGCATCGTTGGGCTAATTCAACTTTTGAAATCGTAGATTGGTTCAACAAGAAAACTCAGGAGTGCGTTCAATTCTTTTTGTATACATGTGCAAAGCTAATATGAATATCGCTTCAGTTACTGGAACAACGAGTTCAAGCTGTTCTATAACCCGGAGACTGGTCTCGACATCGATGGCGTGTGGATCGATATGAACGAACCCGCCAGCGTACGTTCACACGCGGCGTCATGCGTAACTACCGCTAACCTTCCTGATGCAGTTCTGCAACTACCCTTGCACCGACCCTTTCGCGCAGGCGGAGGAGCAGATCCTCCCCCCTCCGCGTACTACCCTGCCCCCGGCCCACGACTCTCCCATCTTCGGCGGGTCCGCGCTTCAGAAGCGCGTAGACCACAGCCACGATGACGTCCAGAACCCGCCCTACGCCATCGCGAACTCTGCAGGCACTGGCGCGCTCTCAGACAAGACTGCCTACGTGAATACTTGTCTCACTCATGCGCGACGACCTGAACACTGACCGGGCCCCTGCAGACCGATGCTGTCCACGCGAACGGGCTGATCGAGTACGACACGCACAACCTGTACGGCACGATGATGTCTACGGCGACCCGCGACGCGATGGTGTCGCGCCGCCCTGGCGAGCGCCCGCTCATCATCACGCGCTCGACGTTCGCGGGCGCGGGCTCGCGCGTCGGAAAGTGGCTCGGCGACAACCTGAGCGAGTGGGCGCAGCTCCGCCAGTCGCTTTCCGGGATTCTTGGCATGGCCGGTGTGTACCACATCCCTATGGTCGGCGCCGATATTTGCGGTTTCGGTACGTCGGCCCAAGCTCAACTGGCGTGGATCTCGCGCTGACAGGTGTGTTCCGCAGGTGCCAACACCACTGAGACCCTCTGCGCTCGCTGGGCGATGGTTGGCGCGTTCTACCCCTTCATGCGCAACGTGAGTATTCACGTGTCACTGCGGCGCTACTTCATACTCACATTCAGATCCATAGCACAACGGCGATACCTCCATTTCGCAAGAGTTCTACCGCTGGCCCACAGTCGCCCAGGCCGCGCGGAACGCGCTCGACATCCGCTACCGCCTCCTCGACTACATCTACACAGCGTTCCACACGGCGCATACGAGCGGCACGCCCGTGCTGCACCCGCTCTGGTACCAGTTCCCGAAGGATGCGAACACGTTCGCGATCGACACGCAATTCCTCTTCGGCGACTCCATCCTCGTCTCGCCCGTCGTCGAAGAGAACGTGACGAGCGTGCGCGCGTACTACCCGGACGCGCCCTTCTACGACTTCCACACGCTCGCGAAGACGCACGTGGAGGGCGGCGGCTTCATCGAGCACACGGACGTGAACTTCACCTCGATCCCGGTCTCGATCCGTGGCGGCGTCGTGCTGCCCCTGCGCGAGAAGGGCGCGCTGACGACCGCGGAACTGCGCAAGACAGACTTCGAGCTCGTCGTCGCGCCCGCGGTGGACGGCACCGCGTCCGGGTCGCTGTACCTCGACGACGGCATCTCGATCACGCCGAAGACGCAGACGAACGTCGCGTTCGCGTACAAGAAGCAGAAGCTCACCGTGAAGGGCACATTCGGGCACGCAACCGGCGTCGACGTCGCGCGTGTGCGCTTCCTCGATGTCGCGAGCGCGCCGAAGAGCGTAAAGTTCAACGGGAAGACGGTGGCAAAAAATGCGATCGCATTCGATGCGGCGTCGAGAGTTCTGGATGTCGCGCTGAAGACGCCCTTCAATAGCGGCTTCACCGCCGAGTTCTCGTGATCATTTCGGCCTTTCTTTGGTGGGGAGCCTTCGGGCTCATGTGTACAAAGTACTTAAACACGTTATATCCGCGTAATCACCTCTGTAGCATACCGATGGGAGGCTGCGATCTCCTAAATATACCTTGTCATGGTGTCGTCGGTGACCTGTAAAGATGGCGCCAGCCATTTCGCACAGCGCGAGCCTCGAGGAACCCTCGCTCTACACACAGCTCGGAACGAATAGATTGGTAATGGCGAAGAAACAAGATATGCAAATTGCAGGGGACACGGAGAAATTGACTACGACAGAACCCCTTCCAGTACTAGAGAACGGTCGTAGTATGTTCTTCGCCAGACCCGACAGCTATATATACGTAGTACAAGCGTTCAACATCAATGAGCACAGAGTTCGACATCGTCCGTAAATACAAGATTCGACTACATAGCAATACAAAGCATGTACAGTAAGTATGGTGCACAGATAACGTGAGATCAACAATCATTGCTGGAGGAACTTGGCCAGAGACTTTCCAGTGAGCACTTTCGCACCCCCCTTCCCGAGGCTCTTCTCCAGCTTCCGCCAATCATCGCTCTTAAGACGCGCAAGGGTCCCAAAATCAACGCCGTCCCCAAGCCCATTGCTCGACCCCGCTACACCCTGAGGGGACGACGCGGCCGCGCTCTCCCGACGCGACAGCCCCAAGCTTAAGCTCTCGCGCTCCCGCTTGAGGTGCTTCGCAGCCCGCGTGT